TTGGAGAATATGCCTTGCACGACCACAGCTCATCATAGGGTGTATTTGACCTACCTATATAAGGAATATGATACACTTTTTGGAGAAGAGCCTAGAGTCTCTTGTCACACATTGAAAATCATCTTGGAGGCTATTCTTGGAGAGGAAGAAGGGAGGAAGCTAGAGCAACCATTGGAGGAGATCTTCATCTACAAGGAACAGCCATGGAGTTAGCCCTTGAGGGTTGGATCATCACTACCATGAGTGGCTAGACATCTTCTTGGGGCTAGAGTTAGCCCCAAACATGCTTTCTTTACCTAATCTTGTGTAATTTTGAGGGATTTGTGTTGTAATGCATATTTTGATTCTTGAACTTATGAAGATCTTGATTATTCATTGAGTTCTATGGATTAATGCTTCTAATTGATCATTTTCTCTATCTATATGTCTATGTATGCTAGAGTAGATGCTCACCTCTAGATTTAATGTTATTGATGCATGTCTATGTGTATTAATGCCTTTAATCTTGAGATTGCCAAAATATGAAGTTCTTAATGTAATGCTCTTGTTATGTCTCTAGATGGTTCATACTTATTCCTTGATGGATTGTGTTTCTCTTTTAAGTAGTGTAGTGTTAGTTGGGGAAACAATTCATGCTTGTTCTTTGATGTTCCATGCTTTTGAATGCAAGAAACATATGCTCTAATTTTGTGGTGTAAAGGAATTTTGAGCTTAATGAAGGATTAATGATTAGTTATGATATGTTGTATATTTCACATGTGTTTAGACAATTTATTCCTCTCCCAATAGATATTTTGTACCTCTCACATGATGATTAGATAATGCATGTTTAACTAAGTCATCCTTATGGATTGCTTGGACTATGAGCTTAATGAAAGGTTCAATGACTTGAATTGTTATTTTGTTATCTTCACATGATGTTTAGACAATATATTCCTCTACCAATAGATGTATTGTGGCCTCACACATGTTGATTGAGACAATTTACACTTGTTGAGTCACCCTTACCAATTGAATGTCTTTTACACACACAACATTGTTGCAACACATTCATTTCCCTCATTAGTCACTTGATTATGGTTTGGAATAGTATTGTTTGGTGGTGATCTCTACACCCCAAGACCTTTCCTTCTTACTTACTCTTTATCTTATTACATTGCTTTATTATAGTTTAGCTCATTTAGTATAATCAACCAACCAACCAATTGTGTGATCACTCGACCTACTAACCCTAATTACCATAGTTCACAATTCGATACACCATCAAATCCCTTGGGACAATCCCTACTCGCCCTATCTATATTTTATATAGAGAAAGGTAGTAGTGGCTTTTTATAAATGTAAAACTTGGCCACCTCCTAAACACACACAACTCTCAAGCTTTTTTGGTTGTGGTGTCCATGTTGCGGAAATTTCTGCGAGATGAGGATCACTATCAGCATATAGATGTTGGTGAGATTGAGTTGCAGCCTGATGCGACATATGTAGAGCCACCATGTCGTATTCTTGACCATAAGGATCAGGTTCTTCGCAACAAGGTTATTTCTCCAGTGCGTGTTTAGTGAAGTCATCATAATGAGGCCGAGTGCACTTGGGAACAGGAAGACTTGATCCGTTCAAGGTTTCCAGAGCTTTTTGATTAAGGTAAAAGGCAAATTTCGAGGACAAAATTCCTTTGCGCAATAATAATAAAAAAATAATAATAAATGATCAACATACAGTAAGAAATTGAAAAAAATAATAATAATTAGACGATTACGAGTAAGTATGGTGGATTATAAATTATTTTACTTTTTTTTCTTTGTCCATCTATTAATGTACAAAAGAGGAACTTTAGAAAGAGAAGAGAGTTGGTGGAGATGCCATGGAGGTGGAGAATCAGATAGGTGTTAGCTGTTGATAGTGGAGATGAGTGTGTCCTATATATGCGCCTATTGTCATACTTACGTTGTTGTTTTGGGGTCATAATTATTATGTAGGAGAGATGGAACCGTTATGGATACTTTGGACTAAAGAGAGAGATTTGAGTGAATGAACACCACCCTTGGTTGTTTTCAAACAAATTAGGTGCAATATGATGGAGATGGGTGTGAGGAAAGAGACGAAGAAGAGTGTGTGTAAGATTGGGTGCTAAACAAAGTAAAAAAGAAAAGAAAAAGGTTAGGTGAGTTGTCACATTCTTATTGGTCATTGAGATATTTTCCTTGCACATCATCAATTTAAGTGGGTAACTGCCAAAACTCCACTGTTTTGATTAGGGGTAAAAGTGTCTTTTAGCATTTTCGGTAATGGGAGTTAATTGAAATGTTATTAATTACAACAAATTAATAGTTTAGAGAGATTTGTTGCAAAAGGCCAATAGCTGTTGAAAGTTATTTTTTATTTTTATTTTATTTTATTTTTTTTGCACTTTAATTACCCAATCTTATAATCACATACATACTCACAATGCACTGAGTTTTATTATTTATATATACCCAAAACGTGAATTGAGTAAATTATTTCCCTGAAAAAAATTTCTTTCTAAATCAAGAATAGAAATACAACAACATACATAATAAGAAAAAATCACATATAACACTTGTAAATTAGAGGTTAAAGAAATTATGACACCCCTATCTTAGTCTACTTTATTCCCTCCCAAAATTTGGATTCTATGATTTGTTTCGAAATAGGATAAGTGATTTTATTTCCAAATTGAAGGTTGGATCAGACTTTTCCAAATCGAAGCAAGGGGTACAATTTCTTTGTTTTTGCCATTCATTTCTTATGGAAATAAGAGAATTTCCTTGAAAATAAAATCTGAAAATTATAGGTATATCCCAAATTATTCTCATTTGCTTCGACGTTAGCCTTGCATCACAACATTTTCATAACATATATCCCAACGTATTTGTAAAGTGGTGCATCACAACATTTTCTTAGTACATCCCAACATTTTCGTGCAAACATCCTAACTAATTTGTAAAGTGCATCCCAACATTTTCCTAAGATGCATCCCAACATTTTTCTACGGTGAATCCCAACATTTTCTTAAGGTGCATCCTAACTTTTCCAACCTAGCCTCAGACATTCTTCCCTTCTTCTTCGTTTTCCCTTTCCTTCTTTTTCGTCTTCATTTATTCAAAATTCAAACACTAACCCTCAGACCTTCCTTCTCCCCTTCTTCTTTACCTTAAACTTTCCTTCTTCCCTTCTTCTTCTTCGCCTCATACCGCCGTTGGTACTATTCCTTCTTCCCTTTTAAAGAGAGAAAGGAAGACAGTCGTGCGTAAATTTTAGAGAGAGAAAGGAAGACAACAGTGCGTAATGTATTTTAGAAATAATATTTAAAGTTTATATATATATGAAATACAATATTTAAAACTTTAAAGGGGGGTGGTAAAAAATTAGTTATCCAATTTTTTTAATTAATGTGGCACATTCTCAGCCACTTATTTTAATTGGAGAAAATGGTTGCACTATGCAATTGGAGGTGATGCTTGTCCCATATAACAATGGTACTTTCATCTCAAATCATAAAAACATACACACACACACACACACACACATATATATATATATATATATATATATATATATATATATATATTGATTTATTTATTTATTTAAATCATAACCATTACACACTATAACAACTTATGCATCAGGCAACTTAATCACAAACGCGTACGTGTCCATCCAAATATATATATATATGCACATATATACAGTGAACATGCATCAAATTTAGAAGTATAGGTTGTCCAAAGATACTTGATAATATATATTCCACCCAATAACATGCTTTCTTGTTCAATTAAAATTTTATACTTTCTTTCATCAATTAACTATATATGTAAATTAATTTAAAATAACTATCAATAAAAATCATGATAAAAAATAGGGGAGTGAATAAAATTTCGGGACGTTACATGAAGTGTCTCAAAATATCAAAACATGTGAGTGAATAAAAGTGAATTGAGACGAAGGAGTGAAAAAAAAAAAAAAAAAAAAAAGCAAACAAACAAACTTTATAATAAGTGAATGATAGAAAGAAAAAAAATATTTTCAATAACTAATAGTGCTGGTGTAATGATTGAGAGAGAAAAAATAAAATAAAGTTGAGATAAAGAATAGAATTTAGGAGTTTTAATACAGGGTGGAATGAAAGATCTTAGAATGTGGATAGGAATGGAATGGTTCCAACTATTTCCTTGTTTGGTAGGACATTTAGAATGGGAATGATTATTTCTTAGAATGAAAATTTATTACACACGTATGTCTAAACTGATGAAATATAAATGCATTATGAGGACTGAAATTTTTGGCCACTGCCACTGCTTTCCCCCACCACCACAACCACAACCACAACCACCGCCTTTTGCCGCCGCCACTGACACAATCGTCGCCTTTCACTGTCTTCCGGCACCACCTTCCTACACCGCCATCGCCACCCTCCACCACCAGTCCCATCCCTCGCATTTCGCCATTGTTATCGTCTTTCACCACTACCTTCCATCGCCGCCTCCACCACCACAACATTTCGCTACTGCCACCGCCTTCCGTCAACGTACACCACCGCCTTCCGTCACCACCACATCCATCATCTTCCACCAAACACGTGTACAGTAAATGACCTTGTAGCTATTCATGTTTTTTTTAGGAAAAAGCTCATTGTTATACGGGTCTATACAAACTAGTGCAACATGATTATTATTTGGCACCACATAACTAAATTTTATATTCTTAAGGTTAAATTAATACACATTTAAATTAAACGGTAATTTTTAAAAGTTAAATTGATCCAATCAAATTACAAACGGATTGATGGTAAAACACAAACATGTCACATTTAATTTATTTATAAATGAATTGATGATAAAACATAAACATGTCACATTTAATTTGTACATTAATTTAGATCCATAAGATTATGACGTATACACAATTAAATCAAACACAAATATATATATATATTTAGTGTCAGTCTTCCAATCTTTCTAGCATGTCATGTCAAGTATTATCACTCTAGAAACATTGGCATATCTGAAAAGAGGCATATTCAACTTAATGTATTCGAAATCACTCAATTTCTCTCTATAAATACACGCATAGAAGTCTCTATTATTACATAGCCCTTTTATGTAACTCTCTTACTCTTGGTATTAAGAAAAACTAGTCAGTGCACTATCCTACATCTTAAAATGGCCTCCACTAAAGCTGATAATCCGATTAACTGCCAGCCCGACACTTTTCGGCCTTCATCAAACTTCGAGCCCAGTTTATGGGGTGATCGTTTCAGTTCATTCCATCTAGATAACCAGGTAACAATTATCTGCTATATATATAATATGTACATTTTCAGCAAGTGTATTTGTATAATGATCGAATGCCTCTATATGGTTACATAGCTCTGATTTGGGTTTGCAGGCATTTGAAATGTATGGTAAAGAGGTTGAAGTGTTGAAAGAAGAAGTGAGAAGCATGCTAATAGATGCAGAGAGTAAAGCATCAGAGAAAATGAATTTGATTAACACACTCGAACGCCTTGGTGTGTCCTATCACTTTGAGAAAGAGATGGAAGAGAAGTTGGAACAAATCTTTCATTCCCATGCCCACTTGGAAGATCATGAAGACTACAACGATTTGAGCACAGCTGCTATTCATTTTCGAATATTCAGACAACATGGTTATAACATGTCTTGTGGTAATTAAGCTCCTCACCACACACACACACACACACACACACACATATATATATATGAGAGCATGCATTCACACGTACATATAGATGTAGTGGCTGTATGCTCAAGAATTCAACATTCACATGCATCACTTGCGGTCAATATATATAGTTTCATGCATGGCTGATATATGATGGCTTGTGAAACAGATGTCTTCAACAAATTTAAAGACAACAATGGTAAATTCAATGAAAACCTTACCAGAGATGTTATGGGTATGCTAAGCTTGTATGAAGCTTCACATTTGAGGATAAATGGAGAAGATATTTTAGATGAGGCTCTTGCTTTCACAACCACTCACCTGGAGTCAATGGTAACTGATGAATTAAGCCCTTTTCTTGCAAAGCAAGTGATGCATGCCCTAGAGCAACCCCTTCACAAGGGCATCCCAAGATCAGAGGCAAGGCATTACATCTCTATCTATGAAGAAGACGCTTCTAAGAATGAATTGTTACTGAAACTTGCAAAGTTTGACTTCAATCTATTACAGTTGACACACAAGCAAGAATTATGTCACATGTCAAGGTAATGAGTAGGTGTTTGCTTGTGTGTTGTGTTTTTTTTTTTTTTTTTTGGGTAAATCTAATTTATCTCTTCTGTTTTACATAGGTGGTGGAAAGACTTAGGCTTTGAATCAAAACTTCCGTATGCAAGGAGCAGAGTAGTTGAGTGCTATTTCTGGGCTATGACTGCGTATTTTGAACCTCATTATTCCCTTGGACGGATGATACTCGCTAAAATAATTGTTATGACATCAGTTCTAAATGACATTTATGATGAATATGGTACAATTGAAGAACTCAAACTTTTTACAGATGCAATGCAAAGGTATAATATTTGTACTCCCAAATTCCTTATATATATATATATATATATCGATAAGTTTTTTTTAGAGGATTTTTTTGTTTTTTTTTTCTTCAGGAAAGGTTATACGTCGATAAGTACTTGCAACTCTCAAATTAATTTTCTTTTCTTTTTTTCTACTTTTTTTTCCCCCTTAATGAACTTTGAATTTTTGGACAACTACTCCAAAACCTATGTAATGATAAAGTCTACAATACTCCAGGGTATTGTATAGGAGGTACCCCTTGCTAATGGACATACTTAAAAATTATCAATTTGCCTTGATATAGAAGAAATTGAGAGTTTTTATGTTTGTTAATTGGCTGGATATACCACGTGTAAGTACCCTGGATATTGAGGCTTTCTCATATGTAAGCCGGCCTCAACTATACAAGTTTTACGGTGTTTTCCTATGCATGCTATAAGAGGAACTAAAAGATTCGTTGTCGATGATTATGTTTAATCTTCAATTGAATGAATATGGAAATCACGTTGTTGACTTTCAGGTTGGATATTAGCGTTATTGAACAGCTCCCGGATTACATGAAGATATACTATAGAGCTATCATAAATCTCTACGAGGAATTCGACAAGGAAATGACAAAGCAAGGAAGATCTTACAGCGTTGATGGCTCAAAATATGCTGTATGTTTTTTGTTTTTTCATTGTGCATGGCAACTAACTCACACACTACCTTTTTTTCTTTTCTTTTTTCTGAACCAAATGTTGTACGACTTATCCAAGTCCTTTCACCCCATTTAGTCATTTCGTTTCTCAATTCATGTGCTTAAGAAAGATTATTATTTCGACCTTAATTAAATTTTTAACGTAAATTAACATGGATTTATTATGTCTAACACGAACAGTTTAAAGAGATAACGAGGAGTTACCACATGGAGGCCAAGTGGTGTAAAGAAGGATATGTGCCATCTTTCGATGAGTTCATGAGCAATGCGCTTAACAGCGCTGGTTATTACTTACTCACTACATCATCCTTTGTGGGCATGGGAGCAATTGCTACGACTGAGGCATTTGATTGGATAAAAGATAAACCTAAAATTCTTGTGGCTTCTAGTACAATTGTGAGGCTCATGGATGACATAGTAGACTACAAGGTATAGATATATGAAAAAGTTGGATAATGAAATTAATATTAATAGCATGCCATTTGTATTGGCCGGTTTGATCAATTGTTTTGTTATATATGTTATAATGTGAATCTCTTAACAGTTATAAATCTTTAACCTTTGAAGGAAGATTTGGAGAAGGGGCATGTTGCTACAGGGATTATATGCTACATGAAGGAGCATGCAGGCATGTCAAAAGAAGAGGTAATTGACGAGTTCAATAGAAGGATTGAAAATGCATGGAAAGAGATCAATGAGGAATGCCTCAAGCCAAACTCCATCTCCATGCATCTCCTCAGAAGGATTGTCAACCTTACCCGATTAATGGATGTCCTTTTCAAGAAAAATGACGGATACACTCATCCAAAAAAAGTATGGAAAGATCACATCATCTCAATGTTCATCAATCACATACCCGTATGAGCATGGATTTGTTTTTTGCATTCTGGTTGGTTGGTTTACTTGTATGAACATGAATGGATTTGGTCTAGCTAATATCTGGGTTGGTGCGTGTACCTTATCCATATATATTGTTGTATTTCTTAAGTTTAATAATGGTTTGCCAATCGTTTGATGTAATGGAACGGGTTGGTGTGTGTACCTTATCCATATATACTGTTGTATTTTTAAGTTTAAGAATGGTTTGAGAATGCTATTGGTACTAAAAGATGCTTCGTCTAAAGCTGTTTCAAATTTTCATATATTGGTCACTCTATGTTGTCGGGCTTGTGGGTGTCCCACCCAAAAAGTTGATTTATTAGATGGAATGATTCTTATCCCGTGTAAGTCTCAAATTTCTTTATTTTTTATCGATGTAAGACCCGTTCAACTATCCAACAATTCCCCCCTTGAACGAGGTCCACGTGCGATTCTTTGGAACCTTGGGACCTAGCTCTGAAACCAATTGTTGGGTTTATGGGTGTCTAACTCGAAAGGTTAATCTATTAGGTGGAATAACTGACTTTTACCCATATAAGTTTCAAATTTCTTTATTTTCTAACTGATATGATACTCGTTCAACAACCCAACACCCAAAGGCGGCTCCAGTCTTAGGCGAGTTAAGCGGTCGCCTAAGGTCCCAACTAATAAAAAAGCCCCAAAATATTATAGTTGCCTTGTATATAAGATATTGTAATTGTTTCCTAATTGTACACTAATTCTAAAGAATTTATCTCCTAAAATAATTCTTCTTTTTTATGTTTTCTCTCTCCTTATCTATTCAGGCCTTTTCATTCAAGAGAGAAATTATTTATCTCCCAAAATATCTCATTTTTTTTTCACAATTTCTCTCTCCTCCTCATTCATGGTTGTTGAGTAAACCAAACCCTAACAATTACACACACTTTAAAATGGGCCCAAATATTTATATTCTTAAATAATATATTTTTTCTTTGTCTATCTTACACACTTTTTTTTATACACGTTATTTTTACACCAACACTATATATATATATATTTTGGGTAAGTTGCAATACTGTAAATATTTAGCCGTTCTCTTTTTTTAGATTTTTTTTTATTTTTTTTTTTTCTTATTCCTAATCTTCCTTTCTCAGTCCTCTCTCATTACAATTTTATAATTTTCTTTCTTCTCGACTCAATATTCATTATTCTCAAATCTCAATTTGAACGCACTTTTGTTTTATTGAAAAATTTTCAAATTTCTAAATCAGGTTCTTTTTCTTTAATTATTTTTTAGTTTTACTAACTTTTGTTATTATAAATTTGTATATATCTATATTTTTCATATATTTGTTTGTGAGTTATTTGTTTGTGAGTTGTGAGTCTTGTAACTATTTTTACTCATATTTTTTAAAAGCAATGATGATTTTTAATTAAGTATTATTTAATAATTAATAGATTGCATATTATGATATGAAAAGGCCAAAATTTATTTTTTTTCTTTTTTTTTTCTTTTTGAGCCTGAGGCCCGAGTTACATCGAGTGGCCCCTACCAATACCCTCACATCTCTAGTGGCAGTGACCAAATTTTCTTTGGCGTTGGACAAATGACAATAGCCACAGCCTATGGCCGGTCACAGTGGATTCATACATATTTATTTATAAATAAGAGTCCTTGGGAGCTCAAAGCACCTCAAAAATGTTCATGGAGCCAGAGAAAGATGATACAACTCAAAGTACCAGTAGTAAAGCCGATCAAATTCAAAGTGGGTGTTAAATAATTTCACTTTATCTTTGTCATTATGCAGGGACATTAATTTAACAGAAATGGTAAAAGTGGTGATGATTTTTCTTTTTTTCCTTTTTTAAAACCTTTTTTTGGTTAATTAGTTCATTTTAATTTTTTTTTTATTTATCTTTTTTTGCTTGCTTTCATAGTAATTGACTTTGCCTTTTTATTTTCTTTTGTCTTTATAGTTTCTTTTGAAAAATAATAATAAATAAATAACTCGAATGTGCAATGAGCTATGCATATTAAAAGTCGTATAAAATTTAACAAGCATAATATGTTAAATAATGAGTTAACATCATGGTCGGAATAATTTTGAAAAAAATAAATAAATAACACAAAAGTTGAAGGAGGGCTAGCTATTGCAGGTTAAAATAAGTGGGAACATATGTCACGCCCCGAATTCCATGACTCGGGTGGCGAAGAAATAAAAAAATAATAATAAAATAAAAAGAAGAAGATGAAAATAGATAATTAAATAGATAAATAATTAATTGAAGAAAAACCAAGGTCATTCATCTATACTCTTATTCAAATGTGAATACCCATGGTGAAATACCCACGGATATACTATATTGCCCTCACTATTTTTATCCAAACAAACCATTCAATGTCCCAAGTAAATTATAAATAATAATAATAATAATAATAATAATAATTAAATGAATATATATATATGTGTGTGTGTGTGTGTGTGGTCGACAAATCAGTGAGCAACACCTTGTTGCTCCAGAACAAATTGGACGACCACCTGAGAGAAATGGTCATCAACACAGTGAGGATTACAAAAAAAAAAAATATAGGTCCAATGTTCATTCCCTTTGGGCGACAAGGTACACACACGAGTGACAAATCAGTGGCAACAATCTTTTGACACTAAACCTACATCATACCCAACACTAAGTTTCACATGGGATCATTTGTTTGGTAACCAAAGCCTGATACAAATGAAGTATGTAATCAAAGGAATGGCTCGCAGCCAAATGAATGAACATGGCAACTAATACATAAATGACTTCAATTAATGAACTTGATTCACCTTGGATACATACATACATACATACATACATATATATATATATATGTAAAAAATGATTCATCGAATAGTTGCAGTGAATTGTTAGACTTATTTTTTTTATTGGTCAATTATGCAACAACTAAAGAAGTGAAGCTTTTCACTTAATTGTTATGACAACCCGAATTTTTAAGAATTAAAATTATATTCATTTCATGATTTTTAGTCATTTAAGATTGAGTATTTAATTTAGTTTTAAATTGAAGATTTACCCATTAGAATTATTCAAGGGGTTGATTTGATTATATATATATATATATTGTTTGTTGTTGGTACTGAAGGAAGCCATGTGATCGGTGATAAGGAATTGATTTTTTTAGGGCAAAATTTTCAAAACTTTCAAAATTATCAAAACAAAAAAAAAAAAAAAATTGATCTTAAAATTCCAACTAGTTTTAAAAAACCCCAACAATATAACAATATTATCATTTTACCCCAACTCTGTCAATTAGCCCCGTTAACCCAGCGCGTGGTTAACAAATGCTTTAACAAATTGACTTTTGTGACGAAAATACCCCTGCTGTCACATGTGCCAAAGAAGTGATGTGTATTTAAATGTGTTATACCGAAAATACCCCCAAGCATCTCTTCTCTCCTCCATGCCTGAAAGTGTTTCAAAAGCCCTAGAATCGGCACCTTGAAGAAGAAAGCAATTGCTTTGAGTCCTAGCTTAAAAGTTGAGCAATTGCTTTTCACTATTATTTTTTTATCTAACCGCCTTCATTAATTAAATGGGATTTGAATTACTGAATTGTTAAATTTAAATTTATTTTTTTAATTACGGTAAATTTTAAAAATGAAACCATTTCTTTCCACTGATTTCCCTCTGCAACAGAAATATTTGGGCGGCGTTTTAGAAAGAGAAACTGAGAACCTATGGACTGTTGTGCAATATTTCAGTGACGTTTTAGAGAGGACAGTGACGGTGTTGGTGGCGGCGACATTTATATATACACATATAAATATAAATGTACATATATATATATACACAAACACTGACATATATATACACAAGCACAACACCACCACCAGGAGACGGCGGTGTCTCAGGCAAAGGAAACAACGGCGGGGCAGGCGAACCATCATGGTGACGAGCTCCCAGGTAGCGACGGCGATGATGTCGACGCAGGAGATCGAGGACGGTAGGGCAGGCGAGATCGAGGGCAGTCTTGGCGCAGACGATGACATCCGAAGGTGTCGCCGGGGAGGGAGAGGTTGATGTTGGACTACGTTGCTACTCGTTGCTGAAGAGAAAATCAATTTCTTATATTAGAGAGAAAGAAAGAGAGTTATGGAGAGAGAAAGAGTTGTGGAATGGATTGCTACTCACGAAGGTACTTCAACTGCATGTTGTTTCTCTTCAAAAAGAATATGAGAATTAAAAACTCTATATTATTATTTATTGATGAGTATTATATCCAATTTATAGAATAGGACTAGCTAAAATAGGTAACTAATTACCTACCAATTAGCCCTAAATCAAGGAGAAAAGAATTCAATCCTACAGCTGTACTATAAGATAAAATCTCAACACTCCCCCTCAAGTTGGTACATAGATGTTACACATGCCTAACTTGTCTAAAAATTTTGAAAATACTTGATTTGAGACTGCTTTGGTGAGAATGTCGGTTAGTTGATCCTCAGATCGAATCTCAGGCAACTCCACAATTTTCCCATCCAACTTCTCCTTAATGAAGAATCTGTCTATTTCAACATACTTTGTATGATCATGTTGAACCGGATTATGGACAATATCGCATGCTGTTTTATTGTCATAATATAGTCGAATAGGTTGCCCAGATAGATAACCCAAATCCCGCAATAGAAGTCTTTACCACAATATTTCACAACGTGCAAGCGCCATACCTCTAAATTCAGCTTCTGCACTCGAGCGAGCAACAACATTTTGTTTCTTGCTTCTCTATGTAATAAGATTACCTCCTACAAAAGTAAAGTAACCAGAAGTAGATCGCCTATCATCTATAGCTCCAACCTAGTCAGCATCAGTATATGCAGCTATGTTTTGATAACGAGCATTTTTAGTGAACAAAATTCATTTTCCAAGAGCAGATTTCAAATACCTCAAAATGCGCATAATTGCATTCATATGTTGCTCTCGAGGATCATACATAAACTGGCTAACAATGCTCAATGCATAAGCCAGATCTGGTCTCGTGTGTGCTAAGTACATCAATCTCCCTACAAGTCGTTGGTATCTTCCTTTATTAGCAGGTACTTGGTTGGACTCAACACATAACTTCATTCCTTCTTCCACTGGTGTCTCAGCTGGTTGACATGCTATCATGCCAGTCTCTTTTGATAGGTCTAAGGCATATTTTCTATGAGATAGAAAGATTCCTTTATTAGATCGAGATGCTTCGATCTTAAGATAATATCTCAAACAACCTAGATCTTT